GGCTTTTTGGAAAAGAAATGAGATATTTTTGCTTCAAAGATCTAAAACTGATTTGTTTTCAAAAATCTCATTCATAATCATTAAAAGAGGAACTGTAGTTACTGATGATTATATAAATCTTGAGGATATTTAAAAAGTGAGGCTTTGACCTTTTTTCAGTTTTATCTTGATGTTGAACCTAAAAATATTGCCTTTGTTCACTTTTGATCACTTCTGATACCTGAAATAAAGTGATGAGGGATGTATATTTTAAGTCAGATGATTAAATATGAACCAAAAAGTATATCCAGTTTGTATTGTTTAAATTTTAGAAATTATTGAAAATAACGTTGAAGACGATGGGTTTTCAAGAGCATATTACCCACTGCCCTCTCCCAGTGATGCTTTCTGGCTGTATATGTGTGATTTCTGGTAGGTATTCACATTTGCTTCACAATGACAGAAATATTGGAGGTTCCACAGCTCCCATAGACACTTTATTTCAGTGCTAAAGCATCCTTAGGGGTTTTCCATTGAAATTTGATCTATTTTTCTGCAGTTTAAACTCAATATTTCTATCTGTGTCAGCTTTAAGAGCTGATTTTGCTATTACCAGTATTTTCTTGTTTAGGATGCTAAAGTTCATATCTACAGAGAATAGTATGTCTTTGACTCCAAATAGGAGGCTGTGGATATTTCAGTGTAATGTCTGCCCTCACAAAGCTACACTTCTTCTGTGTCTCTCTGCAACTTCTTTCATCTGGGGAGCATGGAATGGAGACAGGAAAATAAACAGGAACCTGTAAGTTAAAGTGGTCTGGCGCAACTTACTATCTGTACTGAAAGCAGCAATGTTTGGAAGAGTTTAGCTACTCATTCCTAATGCTGATTCTCAAAGGTCTTGTTTGAAGGCCTCGGTGTGCAGCAGATATTTTTAATTAATTTTTTCAATACCAAGTCTCAGATATTTTCTTTCAGAGAAAATGTGATGATATCTTTGTCCCACGGTTTACTTTTTTATTAGCTAGTTTGTTTAGGTTTTAGGTTTCAAAGAAAATTCTCTCTGAGCTTAATACTTATGTACTGTAAGAAATGTAAAAATGTATTGCATTAAAAATTTTAAAAAACCCCAAAAAACAACAGAAAACGCCAAACCAAACCAAGCCAAAACCCCCCCCAAAAAAAGGAAAGAAAGAAAAAAAACCCAAACTGAACAAAAATCCATTCCTGGCTTAAGTTTATGAGAAAATTTTTTATCTTCAAATCATTAAGGCTTGAAAAGAAACATACTTTATAAGGTAATGTTTTGAACTATGGCAGATTCAAAAACAAGCTATTCCTCTCCTCAGTGTATGTTAGTTAACAGCTCTTTGGAATTCTGTAAAAAATCCTGAACTGTGATTTAATCTAAAGAAAAATATGGTCAGTACCCTTACAAAATTCTATTGTATAAAAAATTATTTTTTCATGCTTTTATTTATATATACACTTAGTTCATTATCTTTTCAAGATACAGATCTGGAGAGTTTTCTTTCTTCTGGTGTAGGTCATCTTTCTGTAAATCTGACACATTTCTTTTTCTGAAGTTTAAGCAGTCATTTCTTGGTTGTATTTCGACATTTAGCTCTGTGGCATTTAATTTTTTCAATGTAGGTCAAGGTAGATCACATGACTCATTTTCATGATGCTCATATTTATTGTCTGATCTTAGGACAAGATTGTCTTTGTACATTTCACATGTTTGGCATGCGGCTCAAAAAAACCCAATGAAAACTTTAATGTTTGCAGGCTGTCTCTGTGTAGTATGGTTTACTGACTTCTCATTTTGGTAACTGCTGATTTTGGTATTGTTACATTCTCACTGTGATTTTAGTGACAGTTTTCTCTTCCATAAAGCAGCATCTTAATTAAGGCTACGCATGCACTGTTGCAATAGACAAAATTAGGTAAAATATTCCAGAGTTATTGGAGGGGAACTCTTGCAGATAATTTTTCCTTCAAAAATCTAGGATAATCAGCATCTGAGGCAAAATGCTCTGTTTTCCATGCACAGACTATGAATGAAAGTATAATTTAGTTCATTTTGGATTTTTATTCTGATAGGTATTATAAAACACCATCTGGCTTTTTAGCACTGCTAAAGATTGTGTAGAAAATTGTGGCATCTCCTCCTTCTTATTTGTCTATAAGTATTTTCTATTTTTCATCTCTTCCATTCACATAATACTTATCTTTAAGATTTTTCTTGACAACTAAGCTGATGCTCTCATAAACCAGCTCTCTAGGAGTCCCAGATCTTATATCTGAGGGGAACACAATGCTTTTTTTTTCCAATATTATTGCCTTTTTTCCCCGTGTGTACATGCACTGGCGCTGACTATCTTCTTTTATTTCCACAGCTGGTTATTAAGCTTGTGTGTTTCCCCAACATCTGCTCTGTACCACCTAAAGAGCAGCTTGGGGCCAAGAGCAGCTTGTTTTAAGGTGAGATACTAGTGTTATTTTGCAGCTGGGAAAACTGATTAGCTACTCTGTGTCTCACCTATTAAGCAATCACTTATCTCTGAAGGAACTATTTCTTGCTGCAGAAAAATTTATCTTCTTTGCTAGCTTCTTGTTGAATTCCCACGGGGGTCTTAATAACAACAACCCTCTAGTCCTCTCCTTGAGTTTTACACTCTCACTTGAGTTTTACACTCAAAAATAATTAAGTAATGAGATGGAAATGTTATGAACATTTTGGTTATCAACAGTTTGACCCTTGGTCTCCTCTAATGATGTTGATACTTCATTTTGGTGCTACATTTTGGTGAGGAGAGAAATCACAGAATCTGGAATGGTTCCAGGTGGAAGCACCATCTGGTCCAGTGGGTCATCTGGTCCAATGTCCCTGCTCAAGCAGGGTCATCCCAAAGCACATGGCACAGGATTTCATCTAGACAGTTTTTTAATATCTCCAGTGAGAGAGACTCTGCGCCCTCTCTGGACCATCTGTTCCAGTGTTCGGTCAGACACACAGGAAAGAAGTTCTTCCTCATATTCACGTGAAACTTCCTGAGCATTTGTTTCTTCCTGTTTAGATATGATATCTAAATATCCTTTGAAGGTTAGTTTGAATATAAAAGAGGTTTCAGAGTTTAATTCTCTCAGCCTCCAAAAGCTCATGCTGACCTTTGTTTTCGTTTTATTGTGTGTCCAACCAAAGGTGAAGGCAAACAACTATAATATTTAAAATATTTCCCTTTGGCTTCAGCATAAACAAAATTTTTAAAAAATTTAGATACATGATTAATTTTCTTATTTGTGGAGTTTCTGTGGTTTTTTGGGGTTTTTTGTTGGTTTTTTGTGTTTTTTTTTGTTTTGTTTTGTTTTTGGTTTTGTTGTTTTTGTTTTTGTTGTTGTTTTTCTGTGTTTGGGATTGTTTAAATTATTTAGGTTTTTTGGGTTTTTTTCCCTTCTGATTCCTTTAGATTGTGTGTTAATTCTGAGAAGAATTCAAATACAAAAAAATGTAAAATCAATAAATAGTTATACCTCTCTAGGAAGAGAAAACCTGAAAAAGTATTGCTGTGAGTTTAAAAAAAATTTCCATTTTGTCTGAAAATTATATATATACTAGGGAGATATTAGAGAATTGATGTAAATATCATGCCAAAACTACAGCTTTAGTGAACATGCAACCCAGCTTCTTCTCTAGGGAAATATTTGTGTTTAGTGGAGACAGTACCAGACCCTGGAGTACTGACAGTTCATTGCTGTCTTTCAAGACAGCAATGCAAATTGCATAAATTGCATAAATTCCTTATGTTACAGATGTACTCTGCAGTTCAGCTACTAGTCCATTTACTTTGTTAGTTATAAACCACAAAGTAAAATATAAAATCATTGAATTAGCTCACATATTTATATACCACATAACAAGCTGGTTGAATGAGAGTTAAATAAAATATATTTTATCATTACCTTTGCCTTTACTTGTGATATCTAATCTTTACTGTAACTGCTGTATATTTGTATTATATCCTAGGAATAGAAATAATTTTAAATAATAGTCTTATTTTTTATATGATATTTTGTGTGTAAGCTCTTATTAAGAATTGATATGTATAAATGTAAACTTATATGAATAATTTTAATGGTTTTGTAGTTTTTTTCCATATATATTCAATTTACAAAATAACCTGAATTAGATCATAAAATGCTTTATGTAGACATGTAGGGTCACCTTTTTCAGGTATTGGGAAAGGTCTTGGCATAGTAATTTGTATATGGAAGAAGAGGAATAATTTTATTATTTTGATTGGTTTTTTTTTAAAAGCTTGTGTGAAACATGCTCATCAAAAGTGTTTATGGCATTTTTCACATTAATTTTGAAATAGCACAGTCTTTATTAGTCATTGGTATCATTATTCTTTCAGGCATTTTCTGGTCCTGACACATATGTGATTCAGAACTTTTCTCAATTCCTCAGCCTTCACAGTGTAAGACAGGTGTTTCTTCATCTGTCCATTTAAAATAAATGGAAAGTTCAGATTTTAATTCAATATGGCAGAAATTCTAAAACCATCCTTTCTAGAGTTGGAGACATGGATGAAGAAATCTGTGGAGGTGCCAAGTTCTATCGCCATGAGAGAAAAACAGTTAATCCTACTGTTGAAGTGCCTTTCGTTTTCCTTTGCCTCTACTTGGGTTTAATGCTTTGTCAGTTTCACCTTCAGATCCTCCAGTAAATGCCTCTCTGTCCTACCGCAGGCAGCACAGCTCCCCATGAGTGCCAAAGAATGTATTCTATTTTTTGGCGTTGAGGTTATTATAAGGAGGTTTCAATTGCCTCTAACTCTGTTTACCTTAACAGACACATTTATGGCTCTGACAATCTTTTTCTTTTTGGACAGGAGCTAAATATCATTTGAAAATGTCTCAAGGCGTTTTCATTGAGAACATAACCATTTCAAAAATCTCGGTACAACTGATGACTAAATAAATTTTATTCTTTTTCTTTTTTTTTTTTTTTAACCTAGTAAGTGAGCAGTGGACCTGGAAAACTTGGCAGAAAACTCTTTTTCTTTCCTGCTCGTATCTATGGAACCTGGTTTGCAAGGTAAATGTTCCATTTTAATTGACTGTAATTCTATGCTGTTAAAATTTTAAATGTCTAGAATTATCTTATAGTACCTCTAAGTTTTAAAGAAAACACCCTTGCTTAGTGTTTAATCTACACTTTTAGCAGTGAATTGTATTAGAATACTCTTACAACCTAAAATAAATGCTATTTGTTCCTTTGTATTTATTAACAAACAAACCTCACTCTCAGGAAGAAAGGAAAAGCATGACAAGACCTAAGTTATTTTTGAGTTTCTGGGTTATTTCAACTCTATTTCCATCAATCAGAGTGAAAAAAATCTAGATTAATGTGAATGCATTTATTATGTATTTTCTGTAGTCTGTGTTTATTGGGAATGCGGTGTTTATTTGTGACTTTATTAGAAGGAAGACTGAAGGTAATTATTGAGACCCCTGTCCTATGTTTGCAATTTTCATTGCTATGTAGTTTTTAAAATAAAAGATTCTTATTCCTGCTCTAAAACATAGCTTTTAATAGTGATATCTGAAAGGTAATTATGTTCTATATTTGGAAAATGTAGTTTTCTAGAGTTCCAAATACCTCAGGGAAGCTGGCTTATTTTGTTATCATGATTTTATTTTAATTAATTACTGTGGAAGGCTGCTGTTTCTACCAGGAAAATTATGTTACCAAGAAAATATTAACCTGAATACCTTCCTCAGCTTTTGCTAAGGGTCTAGGCTTAATATTACTGTTTGCTTTGACACTTTTCTTGTCCCATCCCTGAATTATATGATTGAAGTTATGTTAATTGTCTTTAGGAAAGAACTTTCTTCTCTAATATTTTTGCCATTGAAAAGGCCATTTTTGCTATTTTAGACATGGTGAAAGAAAGTTTTCAAAATATGTCCTCTAATATATGGTAAAGAATTCAACAACAAGCTATGCAACAGCCACTCCATATTTCTGCTGGGGAAAAGAATTACCCCCTCTCGACAGAAGTGCCACTAGGAGTACGTGTATGTTCAAGGGGGAAAATTGGGCTTTTTGAAAAACAAAATCAGCAGCTTTCCCAGCACCTGGAACAAGGGACTGAGTGTTCTACTCTTCAGTATTTGGTTAACGAGCTGATCCCCAAGGCTGGGCATTTTAATATATTGTATTTTTTAAGAAGGGAGAGGAAAGAAAAGTGACTTAACTTTTGCTTGAGTGAAACCTGCTGTGAGATGGTGGGTGGTGATTATGAAAGAAAAGTAGTAGCATTTCTTTCTGGGCTCCTTCTAAGGATGGAAGATATTAAAAAAAAATATATGTCTGGCCAGTCTCTTTTAAATACTAGAAATGGCAGAAAATTTCCAGTTTTTAGGAAGAGCCCAGACACAATGATTTCGCATGCAGATAGTTAGACATTTTACAATCAGATTTGTGGAAAAAAAAAAATACTGGGTGCATTTCAAAGTGGTTCTGGTGCAATTCTCCAAATGTCATGTTGTACACAGGTTTCTTGAATTCTTTCTATCTTGACTTTACAAAGCCAGCAAAAGTGGGAAAAACACTAGCAATCAGAAGTCTGATGGCTAAAGCTATCATTTTACACGGGTTTAACCACAATTTCCATGATTATGTTTCATTGTGTTTAATGGAAATTTAAGAATGTACCTAAACACTTGCAGAATTGGGATGTATTTGGATGAATTACAGAAAAAGAACTGAAAGTGAAAACAATCAGTAGAATTTTCAAAGCATCTCTAGGTGACATAGAAGCAGAGCTAAGATACTCTTTCTGCATTATATATTTTGTAGCTTATGTGAGACACAAGTCACAAAAAATAATATGTTTTTAAGTATTTGGCAAAGAGCATTTAATTTTTTTTTTCCAAACTAATGTTATGTCTTTTTATGCATAATGACCACATCTGACTTACTGGCTTTCATTTGACTGTATGTGTAACCAAATCTGAAAGTGCCATTGATTCTAATGACTTATGTGCAATTTTTGGTATTGGCATTTCAATACCAAAACACCAATAGTCAATTTGGAGTTAGCAATAAGTCACTGTCAGTAAGAATAGACTAATACATCTTTATGATAATGAGCTTGTATGGGGTAATGAGATGTTTTTAATCAAACAAAAGGGTAGGTTCAGAGTTGTAATTTGAAATTCTATTTTCAAAAAGGTTTGAGGAACTATTAGAAGTAAATTTTCTTTCATTCTGTCTTTTGTTTTCATCCCTCTGAAAAGATTCATTACTGCCTATTCAACTTGTTTTCCTAACATTCTTGTGGTGAATTGGGGATGCACAGTGCATAACATCTGTGAATTTCCATGAAATGAGGCTGTGAAAGTTTCCTCTATGCTTTCCATTTGATGTTAGAAACCTCCATGAGTAGGTTTTAGGCATCTCAAGGATGTTTCTGTCTTTAATGATCTAGATTATACATAATGTTGTAAAGCATTATGTACAAATAGGTGTAATGACTCTTACCATTTCAGAAAAAAAAGAAGGGGGGAAAGAAACAGTTATTTCATACATGCATGTTAATACACATGTATTTCTTTTCAAAAGAGGAGTATTCGATAAACCGAAATTTTTCATGTGTGTAAATATTATCCATTTTTGTGCCCGGGACATTTTAAGTAAAGTAAAACTAGATGAGAGGTGGTGTTGATAGTATGATTTTGCAGGTAGATTAACTTAGTTTCTTTCCCTAGTTGGCCAACACTACCGTAAGAACTGATTTTTCCTTCCAACCCTCAATTTCAGCCTACCAGTGCGATAGATTATTTTTATGTTACCAGAAGTATCTGAATTTTGGATCAGTGCAGTACTTGTATAAAAATAATTTACTATCTATTCCAAAATATTCTATATTGACTCATATTTCTAATACTTAAATTTCTACATTTCTTCAGTAAATGCCCTGAATTTGATGGATTAGTGCCTACATATTGAGGAAAATATATGGCTCTAGAACACTCCTAGAGCAGAACACAAAAAGTTCTGGATGATTGTATTTTTTTTTCCTGCTCTTTAACCTACAAATCTATGTTATTAAAAGTACTTATCCAGGCATTAAGTAATAAAATTAGTTAAGGTTTCTCATAGTTCTCAGTGTTACAAGATCTGCATGCCCGAAAATAAGCAAAGGCTATCATAATGCTTTGCTTTTGAGACCAGAAGTTGCTATTCTTCAACTGTAAAGAATAATTGGAATAGTTGTGCTGAAATTACTAAAAAAGGCATGTGTGCTGTTATGTGAATAAAAGAGAGTACATTCCCTCGGGTTTAAAACATTTATTTTAATCCACATGCTCAAATAATCTCTGATAATTCAGTCTAGTACCTTCAAAAGTACGCAGGTGACTTCAGACAGACAGATTATACAGTTAGAAGGGGGCTGATATTCACTACATTTTGACCATTTCTTTCATGAAATTCAGGCTTCTTCTAAATTCAAAATCCACACCCAAAAAGTCGCTTAGAGACATCTTTGCTTACACTGGAGGTGCAAGACCAGATGATTCTTGAAATTGCTAGAATAAATTAAAACAAACCATTTCAGTTTTCTTTAGGTGTATTCTTGTGCTGTTATGTATGCAGTCACCTGCATACTTTGACTTGTATAGGGAGTTATTCTCCAAGTTACACTTGGACTTTAAATAAGTGTTGGGATTTATTTGAGAGTACTTAAGTTTACTGAGTCTTGATTTTCCAGATAAAAGTCAGAAATATGCTTTAGACGATGGACTTTAGGCATCCACATTCCAATATAATCAACAGATGTTTAAAACTGTTTAAATACAGTAAACAACCACTTTCTTTGGAGTGACATATGGTTCATCTAGTGAAGATGTTCCAGTTTCTTCCCTGGTCTCTCCAAATATCAAGTGATGTCTACATTTGCAGGGTACTAGAATTGCTGGTTGGAAACTAAAAACTTAACCTTAGTATTCTTTGTTTTAGAGAAGTCAAGCGAAGATGAACAAAGATCTTAGAGAAGCAATCTGCCAGAAAAAGTAAAGTTACAATCCACAAATATAAATATTTTTTTCTTTATTCCTGAAAATGTAGCAAAGCTTTGTTATTCAACTATTCTGAAGACACTTCCTATGTTTTGCAGAAGGTAAAGACGTTAAGAAAAGCTAGAAGATCTGTTGTCACCTCTTAGTATCAATGTCAATATGTTTCCATGTTCTGTCTTAAGAGAGAAATACCATTTTAGATGGTGTATCTTGGTTGAAACAGTTAATTCAGTCCTTCCTGATTTTCCTTCATGCTTCGCTCACAATCATAATGTGCATCCTTAAATCTTTGTCATTTACATTTTTATCATTGTAGCCCAATATTTGGAATTTTGAAATGAGAGCTCAGCACAGAAAAATCCTGTTGCTGCATTTCATTAATCAGAAGTTATATGAACAGAAAAAAAAGCAATAACTTTGTGTACTATTTCTGCCAATACAATGGTTACACCAGAGCTAAATTAAAAGATAAAAGGAGACTTTAGCAAAATAATATATATGTAACTCTCCAAAACTGAACCAAGTCAGATGGTCTATTCTGACTTTGGAAGAAGAACTTGCATGATCAAATAGTGGTCTTCACTTCCTGTCTGGCAAAAGCCAAACCAAACCAAACAAAACCATGCCCATGATAATCTTAAATGTCCCTTCCAATCTAGGCCCCTCTATGATTCTGTGATTAAAAAAAAAATCTGTTATATAACAGCAGCCCACTGACATACAGATTTTTAATAACTGTATAGTTGACCACAGTTTAACACCTTATATTCGTTTACATAATGTCTATTTTTAATGTGGCTGTGGTTTCTGGTAAACTATTTTCAGTACCACTAGAGATTGTACAGAAGCTTTTGGCATGAACATTAGGTCTCAATATTGAAAAACAAGTTTCAGAGCTTTATTTCATCCTTGTTTACTACATCACTATGAATGTATTCTATCCTTAGACTAGAAAATCAGAGCACTACACCTTTAAGTCTAATCATGGAGGCCAGTGCCTTCTGCCTCACT